TGCTCCTCATAGACTTCATTCACTTCCTTGGCACTGAGCGACACAAGGCGACGGTCTCTTTCATGACGCTCCCAAGCATCCGAAATCATTTTAGCCTGACCAGGTTTCACCGCCTGATGTATCCTCCAAGGATTCGTCTCCAGCTCGAGCATCGGTCTCACTGGTCGCGAGGAGGAATTCCATTGGCCTGGCGCCACTCCAAGTCGTCCTGGTAGTAGTCGCGGTTCATCTGTTGAATCTCGTCCTGGGTCCAGCCGAAGTCCATGGTTGCTTCGGTTTCCATCGGACCGGAAGTCATAGGTCCTGTCAGGTGCGATGCTTGGTGCAGGGTCGAAATGCTCTGGAGCACTTGGTTCAGCATCCCTTGGAACTTGTGGTCCTGCATGGTGAGGACTTCCTGTAGCTCTTGAGCGGTCACTCCAGGAGATGCCTTGGCCTTTGCGCCAATTGTCTCGGGCGCTTGAGAAGGTCTCGCCATTGACGTCTCGGGGACATGTCTTTCCGTTGAACTGGTAGATCCACTTGCCTTCGAGGGAGTTGGCTTTTGAGCAATCTCGGCAACCAAGGGGCGGCAAGCTTTCTTGAGGTCTTCCACAGTCATTCCAGTCTGGACGGGGATGTTCAGGAGTGAAGCCAATTTCACCAGGTCTGCCTTCAACGTTGGCAGGCCTCCCTTTGGGCCGATGAGGGAGCGCACCATGTCGTGCTTCTCTCCACGCTTGGTAGCGGCCTCGGCTTCGAGTTGGGCTTCCTGAATGGCATCCCGCTTCAATTGGGCCGTCAGGCCTTTGCTGGCGCGTGCCGCAAGCATTCCTTGCAACATGTTGTCCTCCATGAAGGCGAAGTTGAGGCCAGCACGGTTCCTGAATTGTCCCAAGTCCAGGAGGTTCTTGGTCGTGTACACTGACGGTTCTTGGGTTCGAGCTCGCTGCCAGTGCTTGACCATCAATGCCTTTGGCTTCTGGAGGGTCATAGATTCGGCTTGTTCTTGCCAATGTCTGGTATGGCTGATGCTGGGGTACGGAAAGGGCGCGTACCGCAGCTGCGGACGAGGCAACAGCCACAAGAGCAAGCCATGTGCGTGCCAAGCGGCCTTTGCGCGAAGGCGGAGAAGCATTCGCCGCCAGCGCAGCACCACCTTCGTGTATTCGTTCTCGGTCAGGTCGAAGTGCTGGGCCGCTTCCATTACGATCCACAGATCCTGGGAGGTCTCGAAAGGTCGTCGAAGAGGATGTCGTCGGGGCTGAAGGACGTGTTTGAGCCACCTTCATAGCTTGAGCCCCGGCCGATGTCGCAGCAAGGATCGCATGCTCTGTCACAAGGTGCTCATGCGGTGCTTCGGAGGTTGACTCAAAAGGCACTTCAAAATGACTCATCTTCAATTGCAACTGTTTCTTCCAAAAATCAAAACTGTTCAACTGAAGTTCAACTATGCCGTCTTGTCCAAGTTTCCGCCAGCGTTGGGAGTCCGGACGAGGCCATTGGCGTGGCTGGAGTGGAAGGGCGAAGTGGCCTGCGGCCAGCTGACCCAACTCCAAAAGTTCGCCACCCACCAAGTCAGCTCTCAGTAGCTTGCGGCCGAACGAAAGGACCGCACCGATAGCGCTCAAAAAGTCTCTTCCCAAAAGGAGTCCCAACGATGGCACTGGCACTATTGACACCCACACCAAAACCAAAGTCGAACCCAGGGCCATAGGGAGTCTGTACCTCACGGTGCTTCTTTGGGTACCACCATTTCCAAACCTGAACAACTCATTCTCGGGGGTGGTGATGATGAGGTTCTGGATATAGGAAGGAGCACGTTCGAGGGCTTGGAGGTAGAAGGCCAACCATGAGGAACCTGCGCATGTTCTATTGCAAGCACTATCCAAAGCTCCAACGAATCTCTTGTCTTGTGCGAGACGTGGAGTGCTCTTGGGGTCGGTATGGTGTTGCATGAGGACTTCGAACAATGGGCGATCCCATGAATCGCCGGCGGCCACTGTCATGACCTCGTGGCCCATGTCATCAGGTTCTTCAGGAGCCACATGTTCAGTGTTCAGGGTCTCGGTGACACGGACCTGCTTCGTCATCTGGCTCTTAGGCTTTCCTTTGGGTCGAGCCAGGCCAGCACCAGGGGCCTTGCAGCCTGCATCACCCGCCCAGTGTCCCATCTCACCACAGTCGAAGCACTTTGTAGTGCTCTTTTGGCGAGGGACTTGATTGCCATGGGGCTTCGTCGAACGAGGAGCCGGTTGGCCAGGCTTTCCATATCCACGGTCTTTCTTGACCTCAGCTATTTTGGTGCGTGCTTCACGCATTGTCAACAGACTCTCTGCGGCCTGTTCCATGCCGCTCTCCAAATCTTCAAGCACTCGAGGGTCGCAACCTTCAGTCTCGAGCTCCTGCAGCTCTTGGGCAAGAAGCTCAGCTTCGGTCTGGAGGACTTCTTCGATCGTCAGGTTCTCAGGAGAGTAACCTTGACCATCATCGTCTGGAATCAGCTCTTCATCTTCCGCCTCCATCTGGCCTTCCTCTTCAGGGGCCTCGGCAATCAAGGCTTGTCGAGGTTGAGGCTGCTGGCCAAAACGCTTGAAAGGTGGCCGGCTGGAACCAGAGCTCTGAGTCCGGAAGGAGCGAGAAGAGGGAGCCGTCGAGCTGGCTGTAGTCGAAGGCCTGTAGGACGAAGAAGAGCTGTGTCTGTCATGGGACTGTAGGAAACGCTGGAGTAGTGGTGCCTTGTCAAAAGGTCTGCTCTTGTTCAAAGGGTCGGAGGAGTGCAAATCTCGAAACAGACGAAGGCATTCTGATTCGACCACATCATAGTTCTCCCGACCTGCCAATGCTGTCTCCAACAACTGCTTCCTGATTGCATCCAGTCCCAAACGTTCTTTCAACATCCAGCCTAACTCCTCCTCCGGCATCACTATGCCTTCCCGCTTGAGCTCAGCTGCAAGGGTCCGGAATCTCGTGCAAAATGCTGAGATTCTCTCTCCAGGGCTGCGTTTGATTTCTTGATAGTAAAGGGATCGGGGTTCTCCCTTTCTATCCAAAGCTGTCTTCCCAACCGTGGCCTCCAAGGCAGTCATGAGTTTCTTGATGCCTGCAAAAGGGTCTGCGGCAACCCGAATCACTTTGTCGCCGGTGTCAGGATCGGTCATGGCTTCTTCCTGGGTCCCTTCAAGATCCTGGGGATCGAATTCTTCACAACGAGCCCTGACCACACCATATTGTCTAAGTGCCCATCGGGCGGCAACGTTGAACTTCTTGCAGGATTCTTCATCCAGCGAAGCCATCCACCAGTTCATCTCCCGGCGGAACTGTCGCCATTCCGCCGGGTTGCCCGACCACGTCGGCACCCGGTACCAAGAGCTGGTGCCGGATTCTTCTGCTGAAGTCATCTTCACGGCCAAATTGGCCAAAAACAAAAGTGAGGCTGCTGCAAGGTGTTCAAGGAGCTCCGCAAGTTCTGAAGCTCTCCAAAGAAAAGGTGGTCTTAGACCGAAAGTGAAGTTGCGCAACGATGGTAGGGCCCAAAGCAAAAGGAGGGTCTATGTACCCCCAAAGGTCACTCCAACAAGGCACTGCTCGGCGGCAAGGGCACTGTGAAGTGGTTCAAAAAAAGGTGTCCACAAACAAGAGAATCTAGTTATTCTCAAAAGGTTGGCACCGACCACGAAGTCCAGAGCGTCTGGCTCGAGGTCGTGTGGAGCAGCCCAGAAGCTTAGCTTGAAGGCCACGAAGACGAGGAGAAACGAGGCAAAGCGAGGCGAAGCAAAGCAAGCAACGGCGGAGTGCAATGCCCAGATCGAGATAGGCTCCGCTACCACTGTAGACGCACTAGCAAGAGCGTCTGCCAGCGCGCCGTTTTCACCTAAGGCGCAGCACGAAATGGCTTCAGGCCTTGATCCAAGCGAACATGAACAACCATGTTCCTCCGCATGCCCAACACCGAAGAGCAAACTCAACTTTCACAAAAATATATGCCATGGGAGCTCGAGCTCGTTGCATGTTCCTTTTTGGAGTACCGAATGGTGAAGAAGAACTCCGAGCTCCAGGGACCGGAAGCGAAACGACACCAAGCAACGAACGGGACAATGACGCGAAAAATGCGTTCAACGGGAATGACGCGAAAAAAATGCGTTCGAGATCGAAAAAACATGTTCGCAAAAAGGGCCGACCCACAGGGATGATTGCAAAATGAGGACTGCCTCTACCGAGTGGGTCTTACCTGGATATACTGGATCCTCCAATGTGGTTCGTTCTGGTGACAAGCGATTTTCCCACCAGGGCATGTTGATACTTGAATAACAGGAGAACCTGAGTGGGCAAATAGTTGAGAGGAGGCCCTCTGCGGGTGTGAATTGAGAGACGCGAGAAAATTCAGGATCCTGCCAAGTCATCACACTGCCGTAATTACCCTATACAGTAGAATGGCAGGGTAGCAATGATTGCAGAAAAGCGTGGCAAAGGCGTAGCAGTAGTAGAGGCAAAGAGTGGCAAAGGCATGGCAATAGTAGACTGGCAGCGTGACGATGACAGTGGAAGAGCATGAAATTGTGTGGCATGCGTCTGGCAAATCTGGAATCAAAGCGTGGCAGGGAGTATGGGTGAAGCAAGTGGTTTCGTACATCTTCTGTACAGCAAGGAGAGCAGGAAAGCAACCCTTGCAGGGTAGAAACCAAACCCTTATTATACAGGGAAAAACGGTGGAAACGACAAAAGAAACCCCGGAAGAAACCCTGGCAACCCTCAGCCGCTTGGAGAGGAAACCCCTGCAGGGGAGGAAAGAAACCCTTGCAAAGCAGAAGCGAAACCCTCTCAGGGTGGTGATAGAGCGACTCCCAAAACTATCATAGCGATGCCTCCACCCTAGTAGCAGTGGCCTCCAACCTATGAGCGATGGCCTCCACCCTAGTAGTGATATGTAGCAATGCGCTCCAACCTACAAGCGAATGAAGCGAATGGCCTCCTACCCATCCGGTACCCAAGCACCGCTGTCTCGTCAGATCACCGGGCGCCTGGATCACCCGGCGAATCTCCTCGTCCCGGCCGATCACCGGGTCCAGCTTCCCATTTTCCGCGTCGGCCACCAGGTCGCGGCCGTACTTCAGGAGCGCCTGATGGGATTACATATGATGTGTATAAACATGTATGCATATAAGGTGGGTGAGGGACCAGAAGGTCATAAACAGTGATGCCAAACCATGGGGCTCTTAGGAGTAAAGGACTGTAGATGGAGCGGTTTTTGAGTAATATATACACCCTCTATTTCAGAGGCTTGTGGGTTGAGCATCTTGAGCTACAAGAAGGTGGTAAATCCACAGTTTTGGTTCACCAGTCAACCAACTAAGATCAAAGTAACCTATATGGTTTCTATGGGTTTCAGTACTTTCTGCTTCAAGCTGCGGTGACTGGCGTTTGATTCGAGGGTTGGCCACATTTGAGCTTCTTGGGAATATGGTCTTGATGTAGACCAGAAGTGGTGAAAGCAAACAGCACGCCCGATGCCTAAGTCCTCACTCACCAAAACCCACCCAAGATCTGTAAGCTCAGTCAGCTCCAAAGCTGATCATAAAAACGCTCCACAAGTGAACGCTCTTCCCACGAAACCTGTTTACAAATCTATAAGCCGCTTCCAAATGTGACTGTCTTACGACCCTGAAGACACAAGCTCAAAACCAAGGCCCTGCAGGCCCTGCACCACCAAATCGTTGAGGGTTTGCTGGTTCATGTCCAACCTGTGTCTGATCCCAACCTGGTCCACCGGATGCAGGTCCCCCAGACGCGGCCCGGCTTCTATCCTCCAAGCCCCAAGCCCCAAGCCCGCTGCCTCGAAGTTCTCGTCTCCTGGGCCCAAGCGACAGCCCGGTAGTGACAGGGATCCCGGTTGTTCCTAGTAGTTTCTTGTTACTAGTAGCGATGCACTTGTTGCTAATAGCTTCTTGTTACTAGTCATGAACCCGACTTCCTAGAGTTAGAGTACATAACAGGAAAACGAGGCTGCTGCTATGTGAACCCTTTCGGAAAGGTTCCATGTATGCTCTGGAATTGCTGCTATTTATGTATCTGTCATATTCTGTAATCACCCTTCCAACCAGCACTTTCTAATGACTGACATGCACACTGACATGCACGGAGCCACAACAATTCAGCGGTTACAAGTTGTTATAAGTGAAAATCGTCCCTTGGATGATCCCACATTCAACCGAAAGGAATCCTTACCTTCGCGATAACCAAACCAGTGGTAGCCGCGGACCTTAAAGGGGAACATGATGGAGGGCCATTCTTCGAACTGTGGCTGGGTGCGCAAACACTTCAAACCACGTCCAAAGGTTTCCAAGAAACAGGGACAGGGGTACACGGCTCATTTTGGAACCTAGAAACGGCTCATTTTGGAACCTGGCTCATTTTGGAACCCAGACGAAAAGAAAACTCTCCGGGACTGCAGCGTGAGACCAATTTCGCGGCTCATTTTGGAACACGCATCATTCGGTAGTGCTTCGAAGGTAGCATTTGCTAGTGAAAATGAGTGTTTCGTACGAGACTTCCTCCAAAAGTGAGCCGCGGAAGTCTCCAGAACGAGCGTTTTGTGCGAGACTTCCTCCAAAAGTGAGCTGCGGAAGTCTCCAGAACGAGCGTTTTGTACGAGACTTCCTTCAAAAGTGAGCCGCGCAAGTCTAGAGAGAGAGAGAGACAGAGAGAGAGAGAGAGACAGAGAGAGCGCGTTTCGCACGAGACTTCTTTCCAAGGGGAGCCGCGGAAGTCTCCAGAACGAGCGTTTTGTACCACGCATTATCATATGACACGCACGATCCTCGCAGAGGGTCGCTCCAGGTCAAACGCGTCAAACGCGATCGACGTTTCACTACACGTTTGAACACTTGGCACGCGCGATCCTCGTAGAGGATCTGTTTTTGTTTTGCTTAGGGTTTCGCTCCTTTAGGTTTTCTTTTGCTTCTTTAGGATGTTTTTGTGCTGGAATTAGGCCTTCACGTGAGGGCTCCTTTAGGATGTCTTGGGTTTCACTTAGGGCTTCACTTCTTTAGGGTCTCTGGTTGGTTGGGCTTAGGGCTTTGCTGCTTTAGGATGTCTTTCGTTTTCACTTAGGGCTTCACTTCTTTAGGATGTCTTTGGCACAGGGATTCACTTCTTTAGGGCCTGGTTTGGTTTTGCTTTGGGCTTCCCTCCATTAGGATGTCTTGGGTTTCACTTAGGGCTTCGCTTCTTTAGGGTTTCTGGCTGGTTTGCCACAGGACTTTGCTGTTTTAGGATGTCTTTCGTTGTGACTTAGAGCTTTACTTCTTGAGGGTCTCTTTTGGCCTGCCTTATCGCTTCACTTCTTTAGGATGTCTTTGGCACAAATTCAACAGCATCTCTTGCTCAACATTTTGTGTTTTGTGCACATGGTCGTGGTAATTACGTGATTTGGCGAAGCTGGGTTTGGTTTTGCTCAGGGCTTTGCTCTTTTAGGGTTTCGTTTGGTTTGCCTTAGGGGCTTGCTTCTTTAAGATGTTTTTGGGTTTGCATTAGGGCTTCAGTGGAGAGGGGCTAGGGCTTCACTTCTTTAGTCTTTTTTCTTTTGCTTCAGGCTTCACTCCTTTAGGGTTTCATGTGGTTGGGCTTCCGGCTTTGCGTCTCTAGGATGTCTTTGGGTCGGATAAGCCTTTACTTCTTTGGGGTCTGTTTTGGTTTTGCTTCGGGCCTCGCTCCTTTAGGGTTTCTTTGGTCTTAGCTTAGGGCTTCACTTCTTGAGGATGTCTTTGGATTTGACTCAGGGCTTCACTTCTTCAGGATCCGTTTTTTTTGCTTAGGGTTTCGATCCTTTAGGTTTTCTTTTGCTTCTTTAGGATGTCTTTGGGTTGGACTTAGGCCTTCATGTGAGGGCTCCTTTGGGATGTCTTGGGTTTCACTTAGGGCTTCACTTCTTTAGGGTCTCTGGTTGGTTGGGCTTAGCTCTTTAGGATGTCTTTCGGTTTCACTGAGGGCTTCAGTTCTTTAGGATGTCTGTGGGTTTGACTCAAGGCTTCACTTCTTTAGGGTTTGGTTTGGTTTTGCTTAGGGTTTCGCTCCTGTAGGGCCACGGTTTCTTTTGGCTTGGCTTAGGGCCTTGCTTCTTTACGATGCCTGTGGGTTAGACTTAGGCCTTCACCACCACCCCCTCAAAAAAAAGAACGCTTCTCAGAAACCAGTCCCCAGAAACCACTTCCCAGAAACCAGTCACCAGAAACCAGTATCCAGAAACCACTTCCCAGAAACCACTTCCCACAAACCACTTCCCAAAAACCACTGCCCAGAAACCACTTCCCAGAAACCACACCACTTCCCAGAAACCACTTCC